GCTTTCGCATGCAGGACTAAGCAAGGAATTTTGAGTTGAAGCAATAAACATGGTATGCTACCTGACTAATCAATCTCCATCATTTGCTATAGAATAGAAGACTCCTGAGCAAGTATGGTAAGGAAACCTACTAATTACTACGAATTACAAGTATTTATATGTCTTGCATATGCTCATGCGAGTAATGGTAAGCTTGAGCCTAGGGTGAAAAGTTATCTATTCAATTTCTTTTCGAAAAAGAAAGGAATAAATAGTTCCAATTATTCCTTTAATTGGATCACGGCTTCTTGTACCAATTTCTCTTGACACATTACTAATTCCCCTGGACCTCATTTTAACAGCCGGCACAGTAACAATGAAAATTATCAATCATTTTTTTGAATTATCAAAAAAAAGTTGTGTAGTGAAGCTGTGGGATGTAAAAATACATTGATAGGGGACCGGATAAATTGATAAGTCGTGCATTCTCGGCCCACTAAGCGAAACCGGTGGCCGTGAGAGCGGTACCAAATTAAGGCAAACTCTGAAAAGTCAAGGCATTTTGAATTGTTTGTTGACATGGAAAAAGTCAGGGAAAACCTCTGAAATTATTTGATGATTTATTTGATATTATGGATGACTGGTTATGTAGAGACCGTTTTGTTTTTGTAGGTCGGTCCGATCTTATTGAACCTATAAAAAGATATAAGAGCCGGTGTAATGGATACTTTTCGATCATATTTATTTGCATTCACGCCTTTTGGAAAGAGCCGCTAAATTAGGCTACCGACCGTGGTGCACTTATCCCAAATCACACAATTTTCTAATTAACAGAGACATGATCTTTGACGAGATTGCTATTCTTCGACAGAGGAGTCTTGAGACACAACCAGTAGAGCGGATAGATCATGGTGTCAATAATGAGATGTAGTTTTAGGTGGAGACTTTGGAGACCTCAAAGGTAACTAGGATTGAGACTGCAGGTGAGACCACAATTCCTTTAGTCGGTGATACTAAAACAACCAGTAGGGTTGCAGTACATTATAGCTACAGCACACTTTACTTATGGTAGTTTTTTCTTATTATTTATTTATTTATTGAATTTAATAAAAATCCAAAAACAGAATATCCATATCACATAGAATTGGGATCATTATATGCCATGACATCTTGCCACGTCATCATTATATGCTATGTCATCATGCCACGTCATTATGTTTGCTACGTCATTGCCTTGTCGTCATTTATATCATGTCATCAATTCCATGTCATATTTTCTATGTCATTTAGTGATTGCATGTTATGTTTATTTCATTTAATTAAATCCCAAAAGAATTAATTAGAATTGCATTATTGTCTAGAAAACCGCGGTTAGGCTAGGTTTAATATATTTAGTGCTTTTAATTATTTCTTTGTGTTTGAGTTTTTGCTTTCTTGCAATTTATCTATTAAATGCTTCGATTATTGGTTGCTACTTTAATGGTTGCGCACTTATATGATCACCCCTCGCATGCTAGAGGTCTAGGTTTAAAATTGATCCAAGTTGCTTGCAAAATATTTTTTGAAAATAAAAGAGAAAAGGTACCAAATGACGTTAGATTAATTTAGCATTATCAAGTCCCCGAATCTATTGAATCTGTAGTTCGTAAAAGTAAAGTACATTCACACAATTTACTTAGGTGTCTAATCGACCTACCAATAACCGATTAGTGGCGACTCCTAAATTAATTGCTTTACATGCTAATATTAACCCGAAAATTGCAATTGGTATGGACTTCCATGTTAAGTTTTTGGGCTTAGCAATCCAGTAGCCATCCTCTAAGGCTGCGTTTGATTGTCCGTATAAAACTCGGGATAGGATATGTTTTATCCTATCCCGTGTTTGATAGGTGTCTCGGATAGTATAATGTCGGATATAGAAGGGATATAACCCGGATTAAAAAATCCGAGGGAGGGGGGTAGAATAAGGTCGGATAGGATTTCTCTTATCCGTCATATAAAAACTACTTTTTAGAAACCCTACCCCTTCATTCACGCACTCCTTCACCCACGCTACAGCTTGCTTCTTCAATTTGCGAAGGTATGTATTCATCCATGATCGTCTACAGCTTGCTTCTGCAATTTTTTTTTAGTAGTTTGGGTTTATAATTTTCATTCTTTGTTAACCGGTAATCGAACGATGAAGTTGTCGTAAACGGGTCCTTCGTTGGGCTTCATGTCATGGATATCGTGTCTGCGTGCTGTGTGAGTTTTGAGTGCTTTTAGATGATGAGAGTTGTTTATCATGTTCCTCTTTCTTTTTTCTCTCTTGGGTGGTGGTCGGCTTTGAGTTCCGCCAGTGGTGTTTTTTCCATATACTGACGGATGGCCGTCCTTGCGGAAGTTGGTCAACCTTGTGACGTAGAGAAGCATCACGGGAACTCGCATTTCCCTGACGACCTGCTCCACTATCCTCATTTTCAAAGGATAGTTGTTGAGGAAGCCCCCACTTGAGATCGGTCCTGTTTCTCCATTACATGTCCCACCTGAATCCCAATCTCCACCTCTGTTTTCGTAAATAAGTAAAATACATAAGCATCACACCCTTATGTTAGAGGCTGTCTTAATTATAATAGACATTCATTCTCTGCAACAACTTCCATATTAATAGCTCCTTAGAAGTAAAATTTTGGAGTTCTCTTTTCATTGAGAACTAATCCATTGAGTTCTCTTTTCACGAGGCAGCAATGTTTGATCTTGTTAGAGTAAAATTTTTAGTTGCCAAAGAAAACATCGCTGTTTGACGACCAAATTATGTGAGAATTTAAGGAAAGAGTTATTTTTCAGCTAGTTGGGATAATGTTTCATCGAGATAAGAAGGCTATATTTTAAATAGAGTTTGATGTGTGGGTTTTCAGAATATAATATTCCCTTCCAGAAGAAGTATATACATTGTTATAAGTACCCGACACATAATGTTCCTACACTAAAGATGGAGTTTTTTTTAGCTTTCATTGATCTCTTGATCTTGAGGTCCCTTTTGCACTATTTTGCTTTTCAAGTATTCATGCTACTAAATGATGATGCCAATGAGCACCAATTTCTGTGAGAGACACATAACTATCTCACCAGGTTGTTCTTGTTCATTGGATGATTTATGCGGGTCATGTCCATCTTTTGTTGGTTGACCAGATAATAATGGGGAGAGAATAGGGTCTTTTAGCTTACCGAGGTTATTTAATGAATCCAAAATATTTTAAGATGCCCTTGATTGCAACTGTCGTGAAGTCTATGCTTGGATAGGCAGACACACCTTTTATTTTTGGACTGTTCAATGTTAAGGATGAGAGAACAACTTATGCATTTTCCCTGTCATTTACCTACATTGTTTGTTTGTTGCTCAACTGTAGCAATAGCGACTTCACTACTTTGTAGACACCGTGATTGATAGGACTGTAAAGAAAAGCAAAGTAGAAGCAATCACTGTTTTGATTTATGGGGAGTAGTATTGTAGCTATTCTGGTTCTCTTATGTGCAAAAACTAGCTCCATTTCTATGATAAAAGCTATAGCATTGTTTTGCATTGCAAGCAGCTAAACTAATGAGACATTTCTATCCAAAAGCACTTAATATTTGGTGAATATGACAGATTTTGTCAATGTTCTAACCTACTACTTAGTATTTGCCTAATGTTATTGTTTTTTTTCCTTTATTAGAAATGGATCACGAAGAGAGAGAGGAAATTTTTAGCATTTTGATATTAGAGGAGATGAACCTGCAGATGTTGCTTTTGTGTATGATGTATATGATTGTGGCATCCACAGTTGCTGAAAGGCACTACCGTAAACATATATTGAAGGATCGCACATTTTTTAAAAGGCAAGCTCGTTTAGATCACCTTGATCGCCTCATTCACAGTAGTGACTTGAATTGTGTGGAACAACTTAGAATGGATAGACGTACATTTACTCTACTATGCGAGTTGGCACGTACAATTGGTGGGTTAAAAGAAGATGGAATCGTGACTATAGAAGAACAAGTGGCAATGTTCCTACATATACTTGCCCATCATGTGAAAAATCGTGTTATCAAGTTCAGATTTATGAGGTCTGGTGAGACAATAAGTAGGTATTTTAACTTAGTTTTAAGTGCTGTGATAAGAATGCATAGTGTGCTTCTTGTGTCACCTGAACCAGTTCCAAAGGAATGTACCAACGAGAGATGGAAATGGTTTAAGGTATGTTTGCTTTGCTATTACATGGATTAATTTAATACTTTAAACATAAGGTTATTCTATTAATTTCATGTTTCTAGGGTTGCTTAGGAGCATTAGATGGCACATACATTAGGGTACGTGTTCCAGAGGTTGATAAACCAAGGTATCGAAATAGAAAGGGTGAGATAGCGACCAATGTGTTAGGAGTTTGCTCACGTGACATGAGATTCTAGAGTGCTTCGAGATGCTTTAGTTAAACCCAATGGTCTGAAGATTCCCATTGGTAAGATAAGCCCTTATCAATATGTTACATTATTTAACGTGTAGGGTTTGACGATTCTAAGACAATTAATAATGTTATCATTTGTTATTAGGTAATTATTATCTTGTCGATGCCGGATACACAAATGGGGAGGGCTTTCTTGCTCCTTATAGAAGTACTTGATACCACCTATCCGAGTGGAGAGAAGGTTGTATGCCAAATTCCCCTGAGGAGTACTTCAACATGAAGCATTCTCAAGCTAGAAATGTCATAGAAAGATGCTTCGGTCTATTAAAGTTACGGTGGGCTATTCTTAGGAGTCCATCTTTTTATCCAATTAGAACGCAAACACGAATTATTATAGCTTGTTGCCTTATACACAACTTGATAAGAAGAGAAATGGCTATTGATCCAGTTGAGGCACAATTAGATGAAGTTGCTAACTCCATTGAAGATGTGGAAACAATTAATGTTCTTGAGCCATCGGATCATTGGACAACATGGAGGCAAAATTTGGCAATACAAATGTTTATGAGTGGAATGCAAGTCGAGGACATGGAGGAGTCGCCTGATTTGACATTATTCCTTGTCTCATTTGTTTCTAATTATTGTAAGGCTTGTTTTGTAAGATGTTTTTGTTTCCATTGCTATTAGACATGTATAATATGGTGCTGATTTGTCATCATGGAGAAAAATATTCCTTATGTAATGTTTGAATTCTGGCTATATCATTTTAAATTTTTAATACTATGCTGTTTTTATCATTAAATTTTCTCTACCATGCTATCATCTATCATTAAATTTTGTAAAATTGCAATGAGATGTTTAGGAATGGAAGGTAGCGATTTTAGTCAAACCCAAGGAAGGGGAACAAAGAGAGACCGACGTGTATGGACAATAGATGAAGAAAATGCACTTCTAGATGGTCTTGAAGAACTAGTTGCGCGAGGAATGAAAGCCGATAACGGCTTCAAGAGTGGTTACATGATTATGTTAGAGAAGTGGGTTCAAGAAAAGTTTCCTGGTTCTGGCATTAAGGGTAATCCTCATATTGAGTCGAAAATGAGAAACTTGAAAAAGTTGTATAATCAGATTTATGACTTGAAGGATCAAAGTGGCTTTGGATGGGATCACGAAAAACATTCCGTTGATATTCATTCGGAAGATAGTTGGCAAAAATATTGCAAGGTTAGTGTTACTTCTTCTCATTTTTCTTCTTTACAACTTGTTTCTTTTTAAAAAAACAATATATTTTCTTTGTAGGCCTATCCAGGAGCTGCTTCTTTGAGAGGAAAGTCCTTCCCTCAATATGATCGACTAGCAACTGTATTTGGAAGAGACCGTGCCAAGGAAAATCTCAGTGAAGACCCTTTAGAAGCTCATGCGGCTGTAGATAATGAAGAAAGTGAGAATCATTCTGACGTGGCTACTACTGGTGCAAATCAAAACTTACCGCCACTATCATCTTCTCAAATGCAAAATGTTGCTGATTCTTCAAGAAGAAAAAGGGCTAAAGCAAGTGACAAGTGGGCTGCTGGGTTAGTTGAAATTGCAAGCACTTTTGGCTCTTTTATGGAAAAAGCTAACGAGAGGATGGAGATGATTGCTAGCCGCATTGGACATGCGAAAGATTTGGATGATGACAAGAGAAAAATCAACGAAGAGCTTCTTAAGATGTCTCTAGATACCATGGATAGAATAAAATTGTGCAGAAAAATTGTGAAGGATCCTGAGAATATTCATCTTTTTTTTGGATTTCAAGGAGATGACAGGAAGGCATTTGTGGACATGCTTCTCCAAGAGATGATAGAAGAGTAATGTCGTGTCTAGTCTCTTTTTGCTATTTTTTAGACAATGAACAACATCGAACAATGTTGATTTTACTATTTATTGGAATGCTTTAGTTTTTGGAATGTGTTGTTTCTTGTGAAGTTTGGAGCTTTATTCATAGTTGTTGTTGTAGTCTCGTCGTACCGTTGCTTTCATATTATTATTTTTTTGCTCAGTTCTTTTTCTTTTTGCTCATTCGCCACTGCATTCCTAGGCAAGATATTCAGCTGTGAAAGTCAGTATAGATTGGAGAGGGTCAGCTCGCTAAGATAACGCCAAGAAAAACTTGTTCATTATTCTGAAGGATCTTGTGCTGTTACACATGAAAAGGTTTCCTCGGAGTGGGCGCTCTATTTTCCATAGATTGCAACCTCTGCTTGATTGTGTATGGAAAAGGCTTCAAGTTCATGGGGCAAACATAAAGACGATGATGACAATTTTCATGAGCATCACATAGGGGCATATATGTTCTTTATATTGATATACGGTTTCTACCAAACGCAGGATAGGATAGGATATGAGAATATCCGACTTTAAACCCGTACTTCACCAAACAATGGATAGGATATGGCCAAATCCCCAGATTTCCTATCCTATCCTATCCAATCCTATTCTGGCCAGAAATACGGACGACCAAACGCAGCCTAAGTGGTTCACCTAAGGGAAAGTCGCGACAGTGAGCAATATATATCACTAACAAAAGTGCACACATAACGCGTATATGAAAAAGTTTGATGCAAATGATTTTGCAAAATCTCCTTATTACGAGATATTTAGATTATCAATGAAAGGAAAGAAATTATTGAGACCACACAAAGAGATTGTACACATGTATTTCGAAAAAGAAAAATATTACAAGTTTTGAACTATTTTTGGTAGGTAATTTATAAAAAAAAAATCAAATTTGAATTTGAAATACGTTCGAGATGAAACGGAATCTATTTATCCACGCATTTTTTTTTTGATAACCGAGGTGTCCGCGCGGCCGGCGAGCTAGGGCTCAAACCAGCGGTGATGCCCGACTAGTCCTCGAGGGGGGCTAGCGCAGCATCCCACCGCCACGACCCCCCACTTAAATCACCGATAGGCGAGTTTGAACCCAGGACCTCTCGTGAAAGGAACTGAGTACAAACCAACGCGGCCACCGATGGGTGGGTATCTACGCATTTTTTTTATCAATGGAATATTTACAAAACGCCCACTAACGATATTTTTTGGAAAAAAAATCTTGATCCCCCTATAATATAGATAAACAATTTATTTATAATTTTGATGTATTCTTTATTTGATTGTAATCAAATAAAAATTACTTAATATGAAGACTATTATAAAACATAATTACACAACAGTCAAGTCGATACATCCTACAAAAGTAAATTTAAAATAAAATGACATAAAGAATAGGATGTTGTGTTTTTTCATTATGTCTTTATCAACAATGTCATTTATAAGGACCAAAGTTAATGTTCCTTGCCAAATTAAGACCAATTCAAAAGTACAGTGATTCCCGGGAAGTCTATAGCTACGGACAAAATAGTCATTGAAAAAGCTAAATCTATAAGAACGACTATGAAATTTCGTTGCTATAGCTTCTAATCGCCAGCGACCAAAACAGATTTCCGTCGCTACAAGTAGAGCAGTAGTAGCGACGTAAATATTCATTTCTAAAGAAAAACTTAGATGACAAATTTTATTTTTTGTTGGGACAAAAGATCGTACGTATTACTACCAAAAAAAATTTTCATTGCTGTAGACAGTTTTCTTTGTGATGGAATTATTTTATTGTGAATACCTGATATGTATGGGAGGGAAGTGTCATATTCACCGGGAATTAGTCGTGTACCCAAAAGACCCTAAACAGTAAACAATACCCTTGTTAGTTATGAAATTTAGGGATAAGTATATTGGAAATCCTAAAACTTGTTACGAAAGCGTAATTAAGTTCTCAAACTTTCAAAAAGTGCAATCGAGTCCTAAAACCTATCACGAAAATACAATCGAGTCCTAAAACTTTGAAAAACTACAATCAAATCCTACAACTTGTCACAAAATTACAATCAAGTCCTAAAACTTTAAAAAAGTGCAATCAACTGAAGAACTTAATTGGACTAATATGATAAGTTTTAAGATTTTATTGCATTTTTTTGAAAGTTTTAGGACTCAATTATACTTTCATGACAACTTTTATAACTTGTAATACACTTATCCCTTAAATTTATTGATGAATGTTGAGGTTGACACCATCTTTTTTCTTTTTTCTCTGATAGATATGATATATCCAATCTAAAGGAATAGATTATCAGGTGATCAATGCTTAATGGGATTTCTCGGATCTCCCGAATCGATGATCGTTGGATCACAAATAAGTTATACCTCATTTACTATTTATCACATCTATACCGTATCCAAGACCAATTTCCAACTTTTGTATGTACTCTTCAATTATCAATATCAAATGACTAAAATACCCTCAGGTTCAATATTAAAGAAGTGAAGAACAAATTAGGGCTTCGTTTGTTTCGCGGAAAATGTCCATTTCTAAAAAAAGAATTTGGGTAATTCATTTTCTAGAAAAATGACTATTTTACGGTGTTTAGTTGAGACCTGAAAATGAATTGAAAAATATTTACCGTTGTTTGGTAAGGAAAATCTTATTTGGTCGGAAATTGCTGATGTGAACACCGATCGTCCTACGTGGTACAGCCACGCTGACGTGGACAATTTTTTTTGTAATTTAAGAAAAATTGAATTTTTTAAAATAGTTTTATTTTTTCTTTTATTTTCTTGTGACTTCTTCCTTCACTAGTTGTTGGGCCCTTGGCAATGGCCGGCGATAGGCCATAGGCAAGGGCTGGCAAGATTCGACCTCGCCTGAGGCCAATGAGCTCGAGCATCACCATATCTTGAAGAGGTTCAAGCTAGAGCTTCACTTGATGCCGGCAAGGTCCTCTCCAGTAGTGGGTTGCCGGCCGTTGTTGAGGCCCAACAATGGACGAAGGGAGAAAGAAAAAGAAAATGAAAGAAAAGAAGAAAAAACTAAATTAAAAATTCGATTTTTAAAAAAAAAAATTGTAAAATTTATCCACAACAACTCTAATTATGCTACGTAGGATAGCCAACGTACATGTTAGCAATTTCCACGCCTAACGTCCTAGGCACCGATGTTCCAGGAAAATGATTTCCCATTTTTGAAAGAGGAAAATATTTTCTTGAATTTAAGCTTTGGTAGAAAAACATTTTTCATTAACTAATTTTCTTAAGCAAACCAAATGCTGAAAAATGATGAAAACTATTTTTCCAAATATTGTTTTCCACAAAACACATGGAGCCTTCAATTTCTCTAAGTAGTTACGTAACAAACCTTCTATTTTCATTTGACACGTACCTCACCTTTGAAATTTATATGTAACAGCCTGAATTTCGATGTAATTCCGGGATCAATAAATTGATCATATTTCGCATTTCATTTTAGTAAGTCTCGCCCAGAGCTGATCACTCTCGGGATACTAACCAATGGGGTATGGCTAACTAGGAAAATGGTACGTGGACCAGGGACCCGATCGTGAATTGGGCACCGATCTCGAGAAATGACGAGAGAATATTATGAACCAGTATGGACCGATCTTAGGAAAGGTAACGGATCTAGTTTGGCCAAGGCCAACGATGTACCATCGGATCACGGGTGATTCTGCAAGACCGAAAGTACACGTGGCCAACCAGTCTTGAACTTGAACCGAGCGATCGTGACCTCTGAAACTAATGATAATTTCTCATTCTCTCAATGATCGAGACCATTACGATATGGATAGCCCTAGGTCGATACGCGTAACTCCTAAACAGCCGCCCGTTAGTGAGAGACCCTGAAATTGAAAGTTTAGCGAGTTTTGTTCACGAAATTGAACCCGGATTTCGAGGTCGATTTTCGAAGGCTTAAGAGACTATTTTTGGGAATCTGACGTCATATTACGCTGGCCACACACATTTGGGGTTAGTACGAGTGAAAATTGGAATTTCGGTCCGGGGGTGAGAAATTACGGTTTTGCCCCTATGGGCACCGAGGCCGGATTCGGAGGCCGTTTGAGGTTATTTTTCGCGGCCAATGTCATTTTGGGGTGGCCACGCACATTTAGAGTGGTTTTGGCCGAAAAGTGGAATATCGACAAAAATTGAAAAAATAATATTATTTTATTCCAGAAACCTTGCAGTCAGTTTTCGAGGACTTAAAAAGTGAATTTCGTGATTCCGACGCCATATTATGTTGGCCACGCACATATGGAACGCGTGTGTGCGAAAATTGAAATTTTGACCCGGGACCGAAAAATTACCAAAATGCCCTTGGACCCATTTTTGGTAATTCCGAATTTTGGATTTAATTAGGGGACTAACCAAGGTGAGTTAGGGCTAATCCAGGTCTGGTCAGCTTGGGTTAAGGATCAATGACCATTTTACCCCTAAATTATTGGATGAGAAGGAAGGATAACCCTTGGATCAAGGGCAAAATTGTCCAATTGGCCTAGATCTTGACACTTGGACTCCACTAAGACCAAATTTGACCCATATTTGACCAGAAATCTCTCTCTCTCTCCTCCATTCTGCTGATCTGCCGAGAGCTCCCTCCCATTTCCTCTCTTCATCGCCATTTCTGTTCTGCCGTGCACAATTCTGCACGTCCTGGTACTGTTCACGCCGGAACAGTACCAGCCGGAGCTGCTGGTCGCCACCAGCCACCATCCCGCACCACCAGCAACCATTTTCGCCCTTAAACAGCCACCACAGTCCCATTTCCAGCTCTGAACAGAAGAAAACAGCAGCAAATCGCCGTTCCCGTCGTCGCCGTGACCGCCGGCTTGCACCCGGAACGCCGCCGTCGATCCTTACCGCGCGTCGGTGATCGACCGCCCGTTCCCGTCGTCCCGAGTCGCTAATAGGCGAGTATAAACCCCTAAACCCTTAATTAGTCTAATTGTGTCCTTAGGGGGTAATTAGGGGTTAATTAAGCTCATTTAGGACCTAATGATGTTTATTTGGGT